CCCCCACCGGCCCCCCGAAGAAAGCCTCCTGGGCCATTGTGGTGTACCATGGAGGGAGCGCGCGCAAGGACTTTTCTGGGCCCTTGGCGGCGTCTAGCTGCATGTCTTGCGATTTAGGCACGAGCATGCAGATGGGTCTGACGGGATCGGGAAGCGGGGGCCTCCCGGCCAAGGCCTCTCTCATCTACGAGGACGAACACATGCGATATTGGCACGATGCCAAGGGCCGGCCGCTCTTCGTGGTGACGCCGCTTCGGCACGTGCACAATTTGAAGGAACTCACGGGCGCGGAAATGCACCGGTTGTGGAGCGGAGCCATGCGAATCCTCACGGACATGGGCTGCGACCCGAAGCAGGACATGCGGGATATGATCCTGAATGCCGGAGTCGATAGAAATCACGCCCACTTGCATCTCAAGGTTCGCGTGACAGGGAGTGGCTTTGATCGGGCGCGCGCCAAGTGGAGTGAGCGAAGAAATCGCTTGGTGGATGCCTTGAGAACTTTCGCTCGAAAGCAGTCCTGTTGATAGGGGGGGGCTGTGGCGAGTGGGCCAAGAAGAGGCACCCATAGAGGTCGTTGAAGAGAGTATGTTGATAACTAAAAAATGTCAATTTGTTAAAAGGTGAATGCTCAATGGATGCGTCCTTCAATTCTTTCTAGTTGCTTGGTAATGTCTGGAGATCTCGAGTTAGCCGGGAGGTTAAAATCTCAGCCGTTGGAAGGTCGGTTACGCTCCCTCGAAATACCACTCCCAGCCGAGCCTTTACCCACGATATATTGACGTCAAGTCCAAAACAGGCGTGGTTCCCGACGCATGGCAGCTATTACCCTTACTGTTGCCGATGAGGAGGGAAATGCAGCCTCTCTGCAGGTACGAAAGACCTCTCCGCCGTCGTTCTCAAAAATTTAAATACCTCTGTAAAACCGGGCTCCTCCGCCCACCTCCCGCGTGCCCTATCCGCGATATACATGTTATAGGTGAGCACTCAGGATACTGTGGAGGCATTGAAGGCTCTTGTAGAGATCGAGATGCGTGTGCCCTCTGCGCAACAAGTCTTGCTGAAGGACGGGGCCCCCCTAGCTCCTGGTGCACGCCTCGGGGCGCTTGGCGTGGCCGACAACGACTTTCTCTTCCTGGTCCGCGACAATAGCAACGCGAATATTAGCGGCATGAGTGGTCGTGACACATCCACAAGCAGTGCCACCACAGCGACAGCGACGGCCTCGGCCGACGCGGGCACTGGCAGGGTTGGCCCTGCCAGTGCGGTCCACTCCTTGAAGGACCTTCCCGCTGGGTTGGGGCCCGAGCAGCTCATGACCACCATCAAGGCCAACGGGCGCCTTCTGGCCGAGCTCCAGCACCACAACGCTCCGTTGGCCGCGGCCATCGCGACGGGCGACGTGGTCAAGGTCCGGTCAGTGCAAATGAAGCAGAAGCTGGAGGCAGTCTCGCGGCGGGTGGAGGAGCAGGAGGCCATCCGGGCTTTGGAAGCGAACCCGATGGACCCCGAGGCCCAGCGGAAGATCGAGAGCATGATCCAGAGGGAAAATGTGCACCGGAACATGGAGCTGGCCATGGAGGAGATGCCGGAGGCCTTCGGGTCGGTGGTGATGCTGTACGTGGATGTGCATGTGAACGGGTGAGTGGTCGGGGAGGAGGGAATGCGCGGGGGCCTCCGAGGAGCTGCCCAGGCGCCTGGCTAAAGAGATGCAGCTTCTTGACCCGCTTCTCCACCTTTCCCCCCTTCTCCTTGCTTCTCCACCTTTCCCCGCCACCGCCCTCCCAGGCACCCGATCAAGGCCTTCGTGGACTCCGGGGCACAGAGCACCATCATGTCCGCCGCCTGCGCGCTCCGATGTGGCTTGAGGTAAAGGAAGGGTTGATGAAGGAGAGGGGATGCCCCTGAGGCAGCGTCTGGGGAAAGATGGGACCGTTTTTTTCATGGCCCTGTGGGACGCGCTCGTCCCTTTCCCCCTCCCATGCAGCCGTCTCATCGACACTCGCTTCGCGGGCATCGCCAAGGGCGTAGGCACGTCCAAGATCCTGGGTCGTATCCACATGCACACACTTAAGGTGGGTGAAAGCTGACGACTGTCTCCCTTTCGTCCCCTCTCCCCACTTCATGGGCTCTCACTCACTCGGTGGCTCACTCACGCATACCCGCTCGCTTCGAT